GTATCACAAATTTCATCAAATAATTGTCGCGTATGGTTTTGAGATGAATGTTGTTGATGATTGTGTTTATCACAAGTTCAGTGGGAGTAAATTTATTTTTCTGGTTTTGTATGTGGATGATATTCTGCTTGCCACAAACGATATGTGCATGTTGCACGAAACTAAGAGATTTCATTCAAATGATTTTGAAATGAAAGATCTTGGTGAAGCGACTTTTGTATTAGGAATGCAGATACACCGGGAGCATCTCGAGGTATTCTAGGGTTGTCGCAAAAGAGCTATATCGATAAAGTGCTTGAACGATTTGGCATGCAGAACTGCAAACCAAGAAATACCCCTGCGGCTAAAGGAGACAAATTTAGCCTAAGTCAATGCCCAAAGGAAAATTTGGAAATCCAGGAAATACAAAAGATCCCTTACGCCTCGGCGGTTGGGAGCCTAATGTATGCTCAAGTATGTACGCGTCCGGATATTGCGTACATAGTTGGTGTGTTAGGTAGATACCTTAGTAATCCTGGATTGGATCACTGGAAAGCAGCCAAAATGGTGATGAGATACCTTAAGAGAACTAAGGATTATATGCTCACATATAGGAGATTAGACCATCTGGAGATCGTTGGATATTCTGACTCCGATTTTGCTGGGTGTCAAGACAGTAGAAAATCTACGTCTGGGTACTTAGTTATGTTGGCTGGTGGTGCCATTTCCTGGCGTAGTGCTAAACAAACACTTGTTACCACTTCCACTATGGAAGCTGAGTTTGTGGCGTGTTTTGAAGCATCACAACAGGGAATTTGGTTAAGGAATTTTGTCACAAGGCTGCGAATTATTCCGGAGGTTGAAAGACCTATTAAGATTTTTTGTGACAATAAATCAACCGTTCTGTACTTCAACAACAATAAGAGCTCATCTATGTCAAAGCATATTGACATTAAGTTCCTAGCTGTGTAGGAGAGGGTACAAAGTGGTCAAATTTCCATCGAACACTTAGGGACAAAATCTATGTGAGCAGATCCTCTAACTAAAGGTGTAACACCATGGTATTTTATGAGCATACTGCTCATATGAGTGTGTTACATATTCAGGAAGCTTCACTCTAGTGGGAGTATTTGCTACATATTTTTGTCATTTTTATTCGATGATGTCTAAAGTACTTATTCTGATCAAAAATAAAGTTTTGGTTCATGACACTTTGTACATTATGTTTTGGTACTTAACGATCTCATAAGGTTTGGACTAGTTGAAAATTGACATGTGCTGATCACATTCATGTAATTTTCATGCCACATGTTCCACAGTTTGATCTATGTCATTTATTCATGGTGATATATGTGATTATTGATAGTTTAGCTGTGTATATACAGCGAAAACTGCTCTAGTCCTATATTGTTGTGATTAATGGACCAGATTGTTTAAGTTCTGTAATAATGACCATATTTTGAGCTCATAAGGTATAATGTATTATCAGGACACATATTTAATCAAGTGGGAGATTTTTAGATCTATTTGGGATTAAATATGTATAATTAATACATTGGGTCATTATATTGTTTAGCCAAAATAAAGTGATCAAATTATTGTACATTGGCTAAGGAACTTAATTTGAATTGTGGAATGATTAAATGTGGACCCCCGTTAATATTATTATTTGGTGACGTAACAAATAATAATATTAAACTAAAGGACCTGAATAACATATAATTTACGTCAAAATAATTTATGGGTGGAGTCCCCAAAAGTCGTGAAAATAAAGTGATGCCCATAAAGATATCCCATAAATAATATATATATATATATATATATATATATTAATTAAAGGGTTGGTTGGGGTTGGTTGGAAGTTGTTTGTTGCCGAAAACTCTCATTAGATAAGCCAATCATCATTAATCATTATAAAAGGATGGGTTGGGTGATCATTTCTGAATAAAGAGAGAAATCAGATTTCTTTCGTACGTCGGAAAGAAAATAAGGAATAATTCACGGGCTTTTGGAAGACCTTCAAATCCCAAATTCAATTAATCAATCAACATGAATCATTCAGGTATGCTTCCGCTATTCGGTTATGATTCTCGATTATTCAATATGAAAGCTCTTGGGATTAATATCGATTTATTTCGAATAAAGTTAAATACAGTTTCTATCAGTCTAATCCCAAGGCCGCTACGTCTCCTCGTGGCCCCACTTTGAAAGCCTTGACTCCCTCATCGGCGGCTCCTTCTCCAGTAACACCAATCTCAACGCACACTCCAGAATCCTTCGCCGGCGAGTTTTACCTTCTCCGGAACCCTCGCCTCTACCTCTAGAGCCTGCGGTTCATAACCCGGATAAAGATCTAGCCACGAGTCCCTTGCTGATGCTACCATGGTCCGCGCCCGTGGGGCCCAGATCAAAGCGTGCAGGGCCCAGCAGCCTTACTGAGAGGAATTTCTCGGTGATGGCAGCAGCAGCAGCAGCGGCACTGAAGCCTGAAAAAGATGAGGAGGAAGACGATGATGGGGATACGAATGAGGATGGGGTCGACACCTGGCAGCAGTGGGAAGGGAAAGGAAGGGGCCTTCGGAAGATGGGAGACCATCATCTGCGACGGGTATAGCAAATTGGCAGAGGCAATCGGGAGGTTGGCGCATATATATCAAAAACTTGAGGAGGCAAAGCAACAGCATATGGTGGAGCTGGAGAAACAAAGAATGCAGTTTGCAAAGGATTTGGAAATTCAGAGAATGGTCTTCATGGAGTCACAGGTCCTGCTTGAGACGCTAAAGCGTGCTAAACGCAGCTCGGGAAATAGTAAGCCGCAGAGAATTTTTGTTTGTGTTAAAATATCATAGTATGCTTGATTAAGTGATTTTGTGATGTGTGTATGATACTGAATTGGCATTTGATTGTTGGTCATGTGCTGCTAATTGTTGGAAGGATGTCTTGGTGTCTACTTTCAAAACCACATTCTTTTGACCTTTGTATATGGGTGTGGAACAGAATTCTGCTGGCTTGTGGTGGTATAGCTGTTCTACTGATACAAAGCTATGGTTGTGTATTTAGAAGGTGAATTTGAACTATAATTTTAGTTAGCCCCATGTTTTCATACCATGATTTGTGAAAAAACTAGTATGCAGTTGTTAACTACTTGTTGACTTATTGACTTTTCCGTATGAAAATATTTTGAGTATATGTGCAGCTGTTAAATGGTAGGAATAATGACTCCAACTCATGTTGATGTGGTGCTCTATATTCGGATGCTGCATATACTATTCTGCCATATCTCTTGAAAAGGTTCATGGCATGTTTGCTTATCATATAACTGCTGAAAAGCCATGTCCACTAAGTTACCATAACATCATATTTGTTGCATTAGTGCATACACAATTGGGAAAGCAGATAACACGTGATACCATTAGAGTAATTCCAGTGTTACTTTGAGTTGTTTTGTGGATGTAATCTTGGTTACGGCATGAACTACATAAACAGGCTTTTGAATCCATGCTTATTTCTGCATTAGTTTTTTGACATTTATGATACATGTGTGATTTACTGTTGTACATGGCTGCTGCCTGTTATGTGCGACGCATGATGGTTGCTTTGAGTGGATAACACATATCATGAGCTTGGAAATTTTTGGATGAGTTATTTGAAACAATTGTTCCTTGCTTCAAATAAAAATAATAATATCAATCTTCGATTCACATCAATATTGAACATATAAAATTAGAATAATTATGGGAGGTATTCGTATTGGCATCCTACTCCTGAAGAAAGAAGATGTTGCAGTCATTGGGATTCCAGCCCGGGAAACTACGGCCAAACACAGGATACAGAGGCCTTTTTAGAGTATCTCTTATCGTAGTACGAGATCTTTGATTTGCAACAGACGACCTTTTGGTTTTTCATTTTTTTCGTTGAAAAAGTCTCAAGAATGAGAGGTGTTAAGCTTTGTATCATCCTGGCGCCGAGCTATTTTTCCGCAGGACCTCCCCTACAGGCCCAGTCGCTTCTCGTGGATTTTCATAACCCTGCTGCGCTAAAACGGGGTATGCACTTGAAATGGATGTCCGAGAATACGCCGGGCCTTTTTGAATTCTACAAGTTCTAGCAGATGGTACAAAACTACTTTTCAATTTTTCAAAGAGAATCTTCTTATCTCTTTATGGGAATGCTATTTCGAGAAATGCTGCTTCAGGATAAACGTTTCAGTCTTTATAAATTAAGATTAAACTATCTATTCAACCTAATTGAATATAATAAAAATAATATTTGTCAATTAAATTAATTTTTCAATCAAGTGTGTTATATGATATGGGTAGCAAATATTATTATTATAGAGGATAAGCGAATTTATGGGTGTCGAATGTCATTTTGAATAAAAATAATTCTTCAATGTTTAAGAACTATTTGAAGAACTAAAATTAGAACTGCTGTTATTTTTTTAAAATAAGTATTAATTTCTTAATTTATACCCGTGTTTTACATGGATTGTTATACTGCTACTAGAAATGTGTGAAGAAAAAGAGAGATTGTATTTGGTTGTGAAATTGTATCAATATTATACTCTATTCATAGAGAAAAAAAAAATATGAATTTTGATATAATTTTTATTTATTTTTTATTTAAAATTAATTACAATATTATTAATTTAAAAACATAACAAAAAAAAATACAACTTCATTCAAAAATGAGTTGGTCGACATGTCTAGGTTGACCACAATTTTTACTTTTTTTTTTTATTATTATTATTTATTTTTTTTTATTTTGTCGTTTCTCAAGCCACCGCCGGGTGACGTTAATAAAGATGGTATCAATGTTGACGGCTGTGGGTGTACGAAATTGAAATTAAAAAGATCGCTGGTAGCCGTAGGACGGCCATGAACAGGTTCCCATCAGCCTAAAACCGCTCCAATCCAATTTCCACTGACACTACACTTCCAAACCCTATTTCTCTCTCTCTCTCTCTCTCGTTTTCAGGTCCCTTCACGAACACGAGGAGCCACGGCTCAATGGCTGCTGCACCTACCCATTTCTCAGCGTCCACAACCGATTCATTTTCTAAACCCTTAATGCCTCCTGCTCGAGCGCCGGCAACCTCCTTGGGTTTCCTATCATCCTCGTCCCCTTCCCTTAAGCCGCTCCGGGCCGCGTCTCCTTCTTCCTGCTCTGCTCTGGCGGCGTCCACCCCCGCCATTAAGACCCCTGCACCCCTGGATTTCCAAACGTCACTCTTCACAAAGGAGAAAATCAACCTAGCCGGTGACGATGAGGTATAGATGGGTTGTACCATTTGATGCTTGTGTACGTCACTGTGATTGTGATTTTTTCAACACCGGATTGATGAATATACATTGCTGCAATTATGATATTTTAGCTCAAGGACAAATAATGATCTAATGCTTTTTACGTTTTTCCATCCACGGTTACCTAAGTTTTTTTGTATTTCCTAGGAATTCTCTGACTGTGTGTTGAATGTGGATGAATCTTTTATATTCCTTTGTTGTTGGCTACACATGTTTCCCTGTTAAATCTATGTATATATTCTTGAATTGTCATTTATTTTGTTGCTTCATGGTACTGTAACATGCAGACTTCCTGTGACTGCATGGGTAGAGTATTTATGGTTTGGACAACACTGTTTTATTGTATTGTTGGGATTCTTGGTGAGATATTGAAAAAATCAGCTGGACAAAATTATGTCCATGCCTATTTCTGTAACTCCGGAGGCCTTTCGGAGTTTGATATTGGTTAGTGATAGTGCTGTCTGTCTTGTATGCAGTACATTGTAAGAGGTGGACGAAACTTGTTTAAGTTGTTGCCAGATGCATTCAAGGGTATAAAGCAGATTGGAGTAATTGGTTGGGGCTCACAGGTAACTCCTTATTAGCCTGCCTTCAAGAAATGTTTAAGCATTTCATTAAATGTATATGATGTGTTTTTATGTACTCATGAATTGATTGTCATATGACTCATATGTTTATTGCTTAGTTATAATGTATTATACTAGTTGTTTCATATTTTATCAGGGATGATAATTTTCTTGAGTGGGCGCTAGTAGACTTATCGTAGGTTCAAGTGTCGGTGACTTTACTAAATAAATATAGGGAGTATGGATGGATGCTGATGTATTGATTTACTTGTCCATGCTTGCATAACACGATAAATGCTTGTCAAATGCTAGTTAGTCATTCTCACTAACTCATGGTATTGTTTTGTGATTTTCTTGCTTTTTACTTTTGAACTATTGTGGTTGGTTGAGCAAACAACAATCTTGTGCGCGCATATGTCCTTAATTTATGTTAAATTGGCTAGACTGTCCTGATGAGGGAAGTTCTTTTCCTTTTTCTTTCTCTTCTTTGTGGTGTGTAGGGAGCTGCACAAGCTCAGAACTTAAGAGATTCTCTTGCTGAAGCAAAATCTGAAATTATTGTCAAGGTAAATGTTTTTCTTATCAACTACTGGCTAGGCTAATGTGGTATGGATGTGGAGAAAATTTGGTGAAGCCTTTTCTAATCTTCATGGTATGTGTCATTTTTGTTTTATTTGCTCCTGAACGCAGATTGGTTTGAGGAGAGGATCAACTTCATTCGCTGAGGCCCGTGCTGCTGGTTTTACCGAAGAAAATGGGACCCTGGGTGACATATGGGAAACTGTTTCCAGCAGTGATTTGGTGCTGCTTTTGATATCAGATGCCGCTCAGGTATTTTTTATATGTACATAAGTGCAATAGTAGCTAATTCTTCTGTTTTGAGGCACATATAGTTTGCTGAATGATTTATGGTCTTTTTTGAAATGCATGTCTAATGAATATTTTTAATGAAACTCTTCACTTGATAATAGGTCATAATATGCTAACAGAAAATCTATTTGATTATATGTTTACAATCTGTTACAAGTTAAGTCTTTTTTGTATTTTGTAGACATCGTGTTCTTAACATGCTGATTCTTGCAGGCTGATAACTACGAGAAGGTGTTCTCCCACATGAAACCAAATAGCATACTTGGACTTTCCCATGGGTTCCTCTTGGGTCATTTGCAGTCAATGGGTCTTGACTTCCCGAAAAACATCAGTGTGATAGCTGTATGTCCCAAGGGAATGGGACCATCTGTAAGGAGGTTATATGTTCAAGGGAAGGAAATTAATGGTGCTGGTATTAATTCCAGTTTTGCTGTTCACCAGGTATTTTAAATATTTTTAGGTGTATGAAGAGTTGCTAGATTTGTATCTTGGTGTTATGTGAATAATTTGATGGGTTTGTCTCTTCTGTAAAGGATGTTGATGGGAGAGCTACTGATGTTGCCCTTGGGTGGTCTGTTGCCCTTGGTTCACCTTTTACTTTTGGTACCACATTGGAGCAGGAGTACAAGAGTGATATCTTTGGGGAGCGAGGTAAAGATTCTCTTTTTTTTTTTTTTTTTTGGTAAATTTCACTGCTCCCCATGGCCTCGACATGCTTGATGATTCACTATGTACATTCATAGGCATTTTGCTTGGCGCTGTGCATGGTGTTGTGGAGTCCCTATTCAGAAGGTACACTGAAAATGGAATGAGTGAGGATCTTGCTTACAAGAACACTGTGGAGAGTATTACCGGAATCATATCGAAGACTATATCAACAAAGGTCAGTCTCTTGGGCATTATTTTTTCACTTGTTCATGTTTATTAGATTGCTACTTTGTTTTACGCACTCCTTTCACTTTATTATTTTTGCAGTATTGTTTGGTTGCTTTTTTCCATTTGCTTTATTTGACTGAATCCTTTACCGGGCACTTTAACAGGGTATGCTGGCTGTCTATAATGCATTAAGTGAAGATGGAAAGAAAGAATTTGAGAAAGCATACAGCGCTTCGTATTATCCATGCATGGAAATCCTCTACGAGTGCTATGAAGATGTAGCAAGTGGCAGTGAGATAAGGAGTGTTGTCTTGGCTGGCCGTCGCTTTTATGTATGATATGGATTTCACTCATTATTTGATCTCATGGCTATCAGAGCTTTTTATTGGTATTTTAACTTTCTTTATGCAGGAAAAGGAAGGTTTGCCTGCTTTCCCGATGGGCAAAATTGATCAGACACGGATGTGGAAAGTTGGGGAAAAAGTTCGAGCGGCACGTCCAGCTGGTGACTTGGGACCTCTGTACCCTTTCACTGCAGGGGTCTTTGTGGCCCTCATGATGGCCCAGGTGAGTTTTCGTGCTGCTCATATTTCTCTTGAGATTCAAAATGGAGATATGTAGATAAAGTGTGTTATTAGATTGTAGGATCTGTAGCAGTACATTTTACAGATTACATGAATGGTTGATATGAGGGATTTTAAAATTTCTTGTTCTAAGGTTTTGTTTGATGAAACACGGAATGAATTTCAAGTGTGCCGAAATATCTGGAGCACACTTTTCGAACTGTAATGTTAATTTCACGTAAACGTACACGCACAGATTGAAATTTTACGGAAAAAGGGGCACTCTTACTCGGAGATCATCAATGAGAGCGTGATCGAGTCTGTTGATTCATTGAACCCCTTCATGCACGCCCGGGGTGTTTCTTTTATGGTGGACAACTGCTCTACAACGGCTCGGTTGGGATCAAGGAAGTGGGCCCCAAGATTTGACTACGTTCTAACCCAGCAGGCGCTGGTTGCAGTGGACAATGCTGCCCCTATCAATCGGGACCTCATCAGCAACTTCCTTTCAGATCGCGTGCATGGGGCCATTCAAGTATGTGCTCAGCTAAGGCCTACCGTTGATATTTCGGTGCCTCCTGATGCTGATTTTGTCCGTCCGGAGCTCAGGCAAACTGCCAACTGACCCGACTACATTCTGTTTTTCTTGTACAACTATGTTGACGTAATTTGCTACCTTGGAGTGTTCTGTTAGTTTGTTGTTCGGATGAGATATCATGATATAGCGTGGACTTACACCTAATAGCTTGTCTTCAGCTATAAAAATGTGTACTTGCACAATAGCTGGACTTGAGGTTGTTAGTTTGGTATTCGTTTAACTTTGAACAAGGCTCTCATTCATGCCTGCGAGGACCAAGTGTTCATGAACAGGATCGACATCAAATAAATTTGATATATAAATCATTTATTTGTTTATTGCACATTATATAATTTAAGAAAATGAATGAATATAACTACATAGATAAATTTGATATATGAATTACTTATTTTTTTTTTCATTGCACATTATATAATTTAAGGGAAAGATAGAAAGAAGTACCTACCCACAAGAAATTGATATATAGATTATTTCTTTGTTTATTGCTCACTGGGAAGATAGAAAGAAGCACCTGTACCTGCCTTTGTTTTGCAATCAGTCTCCCTATTTAACAAATAAAATTAAAGTGAACTCCCTCCGGAAAAATTGTAGAAGGTAAATACCTCCTAATTCACTTTCATCATATTTGTTTTCTCTTTAATCATTTTTTCTCATTTCTTTTTTATTTTATTTTATTTTATTTATTTATTTTTTGTCCATTGGGATGTATTCCTATATTCACTCTACGGTTTCACCACCCACTGCAGCCCACCAACTAAATCTACGGTTGCACCACCCACTGCAGTCCACCAACTAACGACATTAGTCCAAGGAAGAGTGCAATGTCCCACTCATACTCTCAACTATAGTCAGGATCGATCTCGTGACCTCTGGGTTCAAAGGGAGTTTCACCCTCCACCAATCACCACTTGACCTCACGCCCTGAAGGCGCTGCTTTTCATTAGATTTTTATCGTTTTTTTTTTATAAAAAAATGTTAGATAATAAATGCATTTATGATAGATGTTATTTACAAACTAAACACTTATTGACTTATCTTACAGGTTATAAAAGTATATTGAGCATCTTATCTTACAGGTTATAAAAGTATATTGAGCATTTCCCTAAGTATCACTATGAATCACAAGTATTATGGAGTTCGTGCGATCAGCGGAGCAACAACGAGTGATATATTAAATCGGTGAGTGAATATGGAGTAATTTAGAAATAATATCTAAAAGTAATTTTATTACTAACCCTTTCCTTTTATTTTCATGATATGTATAATTTAATTTATATGCATACTTTATACATTTAGAATAGTTATCAATCTAAATTTTTAATTCAGAATTATATAATTCTTATTAGTACTCCTAATTAATATTTTCATTTATTTTTTTATTAATATTTTATTATCTATTTTTTTTTCATTGTAAAATTGGAAATTAGCAACATTTTTAAACTAAAAATTAATTTATAGATAAAATCATGTCTCTGAAATAACACTAGTTTAAAATTGATGTAATATTTATTATTGTAAGGTTGTAAACGTTAATGATTTTCACTTATTGTATTTCATAAATTTTTCTTTTAAATTTATAAGTATCATATTAGAATTTTAATTCAAATTGATCTAACTATTAATATTCCTATTAATATTTCATCTCTCTTTCTTTATCAATACTCATTACTTTGATTTGTTTTCATTCTTAATTTTAAAGGTGGAAAATTCAAATTAATTCTAAATAAAACCAAATCTCTTCAACGGCACCAATTTAAAGTTACTAGAGTATATCTTATTTTAATATTAAAAAATAAATTATTTCCAACATTGTATTTGAAAAATTATAATTTACTAATTCTTCTAATAATATTTTGACTCTTCATTATGATATGCTATTTCACGTGTTGGCTTGACCGACTAGTTAGTTTGTCGTTTTAATATGATACATCTATTTTGTATTTTTACCCTTGTATGTATTTGAAATTTTGATAGTAAATCGACGAACATATAATTATATGTTTCTCAGGATTAGACTGATCAGGAATAATTAAAGGAAGTTTATTTTATGTTGTTTAAATTATGTTCCGATTATTTTCCTAGATATTAGTTAATTGAAATTAACTAATGCGTGTTTTTATTTGTGCCGGAATTAATAGAGATGCACTTTCCTTATGATGCTGAGTCAAACCTTTCATATATGGAGTTGGGAAAATCAATCAAAAACATTCCTTAAAAGGCGTAGCTTGGCAGCGAAGACTTGCGTACTTACCATATGCGAGGCAAATTAAATGGATAAGGACGCGCATGGAGATCGTGTTGATGATTTCCGATTTTCGCAGAACATTGTCTTGTTGAACGAAGAACTATTCCTGAGTTTGTGATTATTTTTATTTTCATTAAGTGGTTAATCAAGAAAGTATTCTTGTTCACGTCGTGTTTCCGTTTTTTCAATTTTAACTGAAAGTTTGGAGGTTCACTCACGATTTGTTTGAAGAAGTCATACTAGAAAAGCCACCAGAGACTTGTGGTCGAATAAATAGTTGTGTAGGTCGTTACTCAACTCGAGTGTAGAGGGATTCTGCTTATAAACCCTTGAGTAATGGTTGTGATCGACATTAATGAAAGAGGTCCGAAGGGAGAGTGAGATGCTCTCCTGAAGGTTCAATTTTGAGAAACACTACTTCCGCAATTGAGTGAAATTTATTTAGTTTTCTAATTTATTTGATAAACGCGATTCTAGTTGTTGGTCATATATTCGTATACAACTTCAATTGGCACCATAGCGGGTTTTCGTACACATTACGAAGGATTTGAGGACTAGTGGATTGGGAAATATGAATCATGAAAGTGGATCGATGTCTAGGCCTCCGCAATTGGATGGTTCAAACTACTCTTACTGAAATCTATGATGACGATTTTTCTAAGATCTCTTGGAAAAGGTGCGTGGAAAAGTGTCGAAAATAGTTGGGAATATCCTGTCATGCCAGAAGCACCAGATCAAGGAAAATTATCTTCATCGGCTGCGGTTCTTAAACCGACAGATCTCTGGCCTGATGCCTAAAAACTTCAAGAAGAAGCGAACTATCGTGCCCTCTATGCGATCATGATGGAAGTTGACCAGACACGACAAAAGATGATAGTTCAATGCAAGACAGCGAAATATGCGTGACAAGTTCTACAACGCCATTTTGAAGGTTCAACGACAGTCAAAGCGTCCAAACTTCAACGAGTAACTCTCGAATTTGATGAAATCAGAATGCGAGATGAAGAAACGATAGACATGTATCATGCAGTTTTGTGATCTAGTGAATCAAAGTGGAATGCTTCGAGAAGAAATCTCTGAAAATCGTCAAATCAGATTTTTTTTCTTCACGATTGATCACTCTCAATGAAAGCACCAATGATGAGGAATCGTGTATCTTGACCTGGTTTGTGAATAAACGCGCGCTAACGGCCTTCGCTTAAACACGATAAATTGTGACGAAAAGGCGCTCTAAGGCCTTCTTTCGAACACAGTTGTGTTAAAAACCCGCACTAACGGCCTAGTTCTAACCACGAGAGAATTGTCCAACGAATGATTTTTCTTATTAATTCTTTAATGATAAAATTGAATGACAATGACTAGTATATATAGATGCTAACTAAGACTAATCCTATAAGCACTAGAATTCTAAACTATAGAAATAATATAAAATCCTAAGGCAACAAAATATCTATGCTACTTTATTTAAGAGATCCCAATCATAATTAAACTCCTAAGCAATCTAGCAATAAAACTCCTAACAATTATGTTAATAAAAACGGCCCTACTCATCTAGAAGAATCCAGGCCTAGCTTGGTCCCAAGTCTTCTAGAAGTCTTGCGCACCAAATCTTGACCGACTCGTGTGATCGCACGTCTCGCACGCGTATTCCTCCGTGTGCTCGATCGCGCGCTGCCTTAGGCCCGTTGCAAGGTCCACGGCTTTGCAGGCCCAACCTCTTCAGACCCAGGCCCACGAGTGCTGCCTGGTCCAAGCCCGTCTGTGTGTCGGCCTATTGCGTGTGTCTACGCTATGTCCTTCCGCGAGACGCTCGGCCGCACGCGTGCGTCCTCTTCCCATCACACCTACGCTGCACGGTCCTCGACCCTCTCGTCGTGGTTGACCCTCGCACGCTCGACCCTCTTTCATTGGTCGACCCTCGTGCGCTCGACCCTCTCGCTTTAGTCAATTTTCGCGCGCTCGACCTTGTTGAGCTCGACGCCTCGTGCCCGTCATCGACCCCTCGCGCTTGACCCAATGAGCATCGACCAATCGCTCGACCTGCTCACACTCGACCCAGCGAGCATCGATCAATCGCTCAACTTGCTCGTTGCCCACCATCCTTGCTCGACCCCCGCATACTTGTAGATAGTTCAATCATTGGTGCTCGAGGTTCCCTATCCACGCGACCCGCGCCCTGTTTGTTCACTGTTCACGCGCATTGCGCACCTCCGCCTCTTACCTATGCGTGTCACGACTGTTGACCTGGGTACTCTTCTACGCATTTGCATGGTCTCAACGGGTCTATAAGCCTTACGAAGCCCATCTCGACCCCTTTGTCTGGCTATCTCGGGTCGTCTCGGCTTACGCCTCCTCTCGTCTTTGGAGGTCAAAACCTCAATCTTCATCACACCTCTGCGCCGTGCATCCTGTGCCCAACGCCCATGCGCGATGTGCTGGAACACGCCGACGAGGCGGTCCTACCCACGGATCGATATCGGATACCAAACATGTACATACATGATTTCGAATAAACCTAAGCATGCTCCTAAAGGACGAACAGAGATATACCTTTCTTCAAGGCTTCGATTCGATCTGAGCGATCTTCTAGTCTGTGTCCCGACCACGTTTGGATGCCGGATGGATGACGATTCTCCAAACAGTTGAAAGGAGCGGATTGCCTTTGTTCTTCTCTGAACCCCTCACGTTTCCTTCTTCCTTCTCCCACGTTGGTGTGGTGGCTGAAGACGTGAATTGATCTCTTAGGGTTT